CTGGGTGGGGAGGGTGGGGAGGGGCTGGTCACCCCGTGGTGCCCTTATAAAACTCAACGTTTCACCTACTCACGCCGGCTTGTGCCCGCCCTCACAGTCTGGCATATTTGCGGAATACACCACGCCGCCGTTGACCCTGCAGGCCATTGAGCGTGCAACCCGACGTTCCTACCAGCTCCCTCCGCAGCAGGAATGTGTTTCTGTTCAATTCCCATCACAACGGCAACAATGAAATAACATAAGAGTTAAATATTACCGCGTGATGGAATAAATTATCCTTCACTTGTTGCACTAAGTGGAGAGGAATTTACTGTTGCGTTGCACAATTCGTTGAACAAATTGTGATAGCCTTGTGACCTTTACCACTGACACATCGCCCCAAATAAGACGTACATTTTGATCTTGTTCAAGGGTTATTAAAGGCCCGAACATTACAACTCTGTGTGCGGTTTTTTGGTGAGATTCATTTGGCAAGGGGAACTAGTTGGCGTTCCCTCTGCTCCACTCGCTTGCCACTTTGTCCTGCCACACCCACCCAGTGTGTCACAGCGCGAGTAGTCTGCCATCGCGAACCAGAGGAGATGAATGGTGAACATTTAACAGAGAAATGGAACATTCATGCCGGTCTTTGGAAACAGATTTAAACAAATATTCTTAGGTTTTTTCGGTAAAGTCACGTAGGTAAAACATCAAAATTAATGAAAATAAAATAAAATAAAAATCACGACGTTTCGGAGGCAACACAAGTCTCCGTCATCAGGTGGGACCGTCGTGATTTTTATTTTATTTTATTTTCATTAATTTTGATGTTTTACCTACGTGACTTTACCAAAAAAACCTAAGAATATGAATCCTTGCAGTCACGAAAGCTTCAAATCTAGTTTTAAACAATCCAGGACGGTTTGCTTTAATGGAAACATTCCAACTGAGATTGTATTTGTTTGAGATGTCCCAGCGGCAGTCGAGGTTTTTGGCAATGATCTGCAGGGATGGTGCGTTTCCGTTCCTAGCCGCGAGGGCATATCCTTGTTACTGCGCCGTCCGTGAGCGTTGGTTCACGTTCCAAGCAGTGAGGAAGTCCGCTTATCTTGCTTAAGTTGTTGAGTTGCGTCGGCAATAAACTCAAAGGGCAACCTTACCCGGTAAATACAGTAAACCATCTAGTAAACCACTGTAGTCTTCGTTCCTGCAATGAAGGAATAACAAAGCTACACCAACTCTCTCCCGAAGCCCTCTTCTGGCTAGCAGACCTCGACGTTTTCATGTATCTCCTGAACATGTTGCCAGAATTGGAGTAAATTGTAATATGGTGCCACCTAGTGGCGATACAGCTCAGGTGAGTCTTTTATGTAAACAGGCGGCAAAGCCGAGTGAGAGATTCATGTTCATCATCATTGTCAACCAAAATTAAATCCAATGCTGGATGGAGGCCTCTCCAAGCTGTCATCATCACATTTTCTTGCAATGCAACAATTCACGGAGCACCTGCATACGAGCTGATTTCAGAGCTTTCCATCTTAGATCTTTAAAGGTGACTTTTGAAATAGTTTTTATACTCCTACTGGTGCAGTGTTGAGTCTGTGGGCAGTGTTGAGTCTGTGGGCAGTGTTGAGTCTGTGGGCAGTGTTGAGTCTATGGTGCAGTGTTGAGTCTATGGTGCAGTGTTGAGTCAATGGGCAGTGCTGAGTCTATGGACAGTGTTGTCATCACTATGAAATAAGTATACCAAGTTTGCAGTCGATACCACATTGGGAAGTGGGTTAAAATTGAGTTACAAGATTTGAGGATACAACAACAACGACAACAACGACAACGACAGCGTGTAAAATTGGAATCATGGAGAGTATTCTATATGAATAAAGTGCTCTACCTTACAGCATTTACCGTTATAAACATTGTTCATGGGTAGTAGTACCCCAGTAATTACCATGAAAATCGGATAATTTGTATAGGGTAAGGGTAAAAGTAGGCTCATTGTTTTTCTTACTCTTAGGTTTTTTTCGGTAAAGTCACGTAGGTTAAATAAGAAAAGTAAAATAATATACGTGAAAATAAGTCGATGTATTTTTATTCTATTTTATTATTTTTTTACTTTTTTACCGACGCGACTTTACCGAAAAACAACCCGCTAAGAGTATGAACCCTTGCAGTCACGAAAACTTCAAATCTAGAATCGCTGCTTTTCCCTTTAACCTCCACCTTGCCGGGGCCTACACGCACACACTCACCCCCCACTCGCTCGCTCACTCACCCACACAGCAGAAGGATGAGGTGGAGGTGGTGGTGATGAGAGGCTTGCCTGTGGAGGTGTCAGTCCCAGCACCACAGCAATGGTGGAGCAGCAGTTGCCCAGCTAGAAGCCAGCCAGCACCCAGCAGCTTGACTGCAGCAGCCTCTGTGTCCAGGGCTCCGTGTAGACTCAGCTCTGGTGACTCAACACGCCCCTTGCCAAGGGCTGGCTCGACTCTGGCGAATGGTCGATGGTTCCCGCTGAGCTGTGCGGATTTAAGCTTCACAATCATGGAATGCGTTGCGCACTACTCACGTCTAGAGTCAACATCGCGTAGGGTAGCCTCTGTCTACTGCTGGTGAGGAGGAGGGGTAGGGGGGGTGCGGGGGGGGCAGTGTGGAGTCTATGGTGCAGTGCTGAGTCTATGGGCAGTGTTGAGTCTATGGTCAGTGCTGAGTCTATGGGCAGTGTTGAGTCTATGGGCAGTGTTGAGTCTATGGGCAGTGCTGAGCCTATGGGTAGTGTTGAGTCTATGGGTAGTGTTGAGTCTATGGGCAGTGTTGAGTCTATGGGCAGTGCTGAGCCTATGGGTAGTGTTGAGTCTATGGGTAGTGTTGAGTCTATGGTGCAGTGTTGAGTCTATGGTGCAGTGCTGAGTCTGTGGGCACGTGTTGAGTCTATGGGCAGTGTTGAGTCTATGGACACGTGTTGAGTCTATGGACAGTGTTGAGTCTATGGTGCAGTGTTGAGTCTATGGGCACGTGTTGAGTCTATGGGCACGTGTTGAGTCTATGGACAGTGTTGAGTCTATGGTGCAGTGCTGAGTCTATGGGCAGTGTAGAGTCTATGGGTAACAGTGTTGAGTCTATGGTGCAGTGTTGAGTCTATGGGTAGCAGTGTTGAGTCTATGGGTAACAGTGTTGAGTCTATGGGCACGTGTTGAGTCTATGGACAGTGTTGAGTCTATGGTGCAGTGTTGAGTCTATGGGCAGTGTTGAGTCTATGGGCAGTGTTGAGTCTATGGGCAGTGTTGAGTCTATGGGCAGTGCTGAGTCTATGGGCACTGTTGAGTCTATGGGCAGTGTTGAGTCTATGGGCAGTGTTGAGTCTATGGCAGTGTTGAGTCTATGGTGCAGTGTTGAGTCTATGGGCAGTGTTGAGTCTATGGGCAGTGTTGAGTCTATGGGCAGTGTTGAGTCTATAGTGCAGTGTTGAGTCTATGGGCAGTGTTGAGTCTATGGGCAGTGTTGAGTCTATGGTGCAGTGTTGAGTCTATGGGCAGTGTTGAGTCTATGGGCAGTGTTGAGTATATGGCAGTGTTGAGTCTATAGTGCAGTGTTGCTGGGTCCACACCAATCAACTTCAAGGACAGTGCACATTATCAGAGTTATGTTCTTTTGTTTGTATTATGACTGCAGGTATTGCGGTCTATGCAAACATGACTCCTTGCAAAAAGGTGTCAATTTTGTTGCCAGATAGAAGGGTAAAGAACCAATTATCTATGGGCAGTGTTGAGTTTATGGTGCAATCACTGCAGGCCAAGTGCCAGTATCATGACCAACTCGGGCATTGAAGTTGCCCAACAAGATGACTCTATCCCCAAGGGGCCACTTTAGCTAACACCTGTGACAGGTCATAGAAGGCATCTGACTCATCGGCCTTGCCTGCATCCCTCCACGGATGTTCGTCTTCAGTGGGGGCATAAGTAACCACGACCACCATTCCTCGCCTCTGGTTGATGGGAAGGCGAGCCCACAGTAGCCTGGGGCTTACAGCTTCCCACACCTCACCACCACGCTCCCGCAACCCCTTGTTTTGTTCAGAAGAGCCACTCCCTGTTGTTTGGCAGTCTCATGCCCCGAGTAGAGGACTGTCCACCCCTCATGGTGGCAGGAGCCTGAGCCGGTCCACCGGACCTCCTGAATACCACAGAGATCCAGGTGGTACCGGTCCAGCTCCCGATAGAGGGGTGGCATACTCTCCTCCGCAGTGAGCGTTTGAACATTCCACGTGGCCACCCGCAGTGGTTTTTTGTTGTTTCTGGAGGAGCCCCGAGGGTAAGGATTCAGTCTCCTGGCTCCGCCAAATGGGGTTTGGCCAGTAGACGTCATAGATGCCTGTCCCCCCGGCTCCTCCGGGACAAGCTGAATTAGATATTTTGCAGGTCGCTTTGTGGTCATGAATTGAAGGTGGAGAGATTACCAGCTCCTCACACCTGTCCAGAGCCCCCATTTGGCCGCTGCAGTGGTTACAAAGGCCATGAGGGGAATGGCGAATTTAAGTTGGCCCTCCCCCCACGGCACTGCCCATCACAGCGTTGCTGTCCGGTACGAACAAGGAGGTAGGGGGTTGTTTTGCCGGACAACAACAACCGCCATTCGTCACGTAGAATGGAAATAATAGTATTTCCATTCTACGTGACTTTACCGAAAGAACCAGAATGGAAATAATATTATTTTCATTCTACGTGACTTTACCGAAAGAACCAAGAAAAATTGTTCATTGTTTGCAGGAAATATTTATTACGTTGCTATTTTAACACTGGGTTCCATTCACTACCGTTTGCATGTTCGGTCGACCTTTTGAATACTTCTTCGGACGCATTCCAGAATATTTGAAACTGTAAAATTTTCAGCAACCACCAAATAATTTCCTCTGAACCGTAACCTGAAAATCAAGTTGAGTGCTGGGGTTTTGCTCCCTAAATTTTACGTCAAACTCTATATTGGCAATTTAGTTCTATTCCTCCACACATGTTGCACTGCTTTTAATCAACACACGCCCAGTGTCAATAGGCGCATTCAGCAAAGGTAACTTTAAACCCAACATCAAAATAATTACCGTCAACAAATAATAACCATCGAACGAAGAAGGGTGCCAGTTCAATCCCTGGTTGGGGGACGACTCAACTCACATCGTCATCACCATCATCAACACCACCGGCCGTCGTAAAGTGAGCACCACAACTAGCCCCGCCATAGGAACGAGGCACGCCCGGCCGCCTTTGTGTCCCCGACAAAACACTGTGTGTGTACACACTGTGTGTGTGTAGACTGTTTGTAGACACTGTGTGTACACTGTGTGTGTGTACACACTGTGTGTGTACACTGTGTGTGTGTAGACTGTGTGTACACTGTGTGTGTACACACTGTGTGTGTAAGTACACTGTGTGTGTGTACACTGTGTGTGTGTAGACTGTGTGTGTACACACACTGTGTGTGTGTAGACTGTAGACACTGTGTGTGTACACACTGTGTGTGTGTGTACACTGTGACGGAGAATCAAACTCAGGTGGTCGGTTTCATCGCGCACTGTTCTCAGCACGGCGACACCCGGTCCATCCCACGCGTTATTAAAAGAAGCAACCAAATAACAGGACTTAACGTCGAGATGAAATTTTTATTTCGATTTAAAGCATTGGTTCTTAACCTGGGTTCGATCGAACCTCAGAGGTTCGGTGAGTCAGTCTCAGGGGTTCGGCGGAGGTTATTTTTTCCAATTAAGAAGGGTTCAGTGAATGCGCATATGAAACTGGTGGGGTTCGGTACCTCCAAAAAGGTTAAGAACCACTGCTTTAAGATGTTTTTTGTTCATGTTTTAGTTTTTTGTTTGTTGCGGTTGCACCCGATTCAAGAGCCGAATGGCTCACAGGGCTCTACCTAATAAATGAACTTTGGGTAGCAGCTGTTGGCTTGTCGGAGCAGCAACCCCAACTTGGGGTGCTTCCTCCACTTCCTCCTCCCTTGGTGGCTGTGCCAGACGAGAGCGGCCGACTTATTTGCGAACTCGTCGTGAAGATTCCTGCTGCACAAAACACCTACAAATACAAACAGCGTCTTACAACAATGCAACTTAAGATGTGGATAGCGACCGGACGCATTTGCAGCTCAGGATGTGGTACGGGAGAGTTTGATGTGTGCATGACCGTGTCTCGCATTCATATATATAGATGACTATGGAACATCAATCTCAGTGCAGTGCTAATACAACGCACACTCAAGCATGACTTTGGTTGTTTGGAGTGTAGAGATGACAATCAGTAGCGATTAATAATTTCAGAACGGTGTAAATTCCAGCGCAGAGCGCTCATGCCCGTGACAATGCGTGATTATAGTCACTAACTCGTCTATTCGGTCATGAATCCTCCTATAACGGAGTCTTCTGTGCTCGAGTTACGGGACCTGTGGTGTCGTCTCTGCCTTCCTCTCTACTCGGTCGGATTTCCTCCCAGCTAGAGGTCGCAAACGGGTACCCGTACCCAGCCGGGTACGGGTACCCGTACCCAGCCGGGTACGGGTACCCGTACCCAGCCGGGTACGGGTACCCGTTTGCGACCCTGGTGCGGCCGGGTACGCGTACGGGTAAGGAATCAAAACCCGTTTGCGACCTCTGCTCCCAGCTCACGGGGAGGGGGGGTGGGCAACGTAGCAGCGCTCTCATCTCTGTTGGTGGCCCTGAGCTCACCATGGAAAATTCCAGTCCCACAGCGGGGGCCATGCGCTCTCCACGGAAACCCGCGCAGTTTTTTTTACTTTCCGCGATGCGAGGTTCATGGTGCCCCACTCCGGAGAGATGAAATTGGCACAGACCCCCCCTCCCCCCACAACAAACGCACCCAGCGGAGTGAAGAGCACGGATGGCACCTAGACAGCTCGAGTCCCCACTGCCCCCAGTGAATGTTCAGACGCCCTCGTACGTTGGCTACATTCGTCTGTTCGCGTTGTCTGTGGCGGCTGGCAACGCACGGACGAGTTAAACGGAGCAACGGGCGTGGCCTCACCCTCCGTTCGTTCCAGATCTGACCACGTGTGTTGTCCGTCTCCACCCCTTTTAATACCTGGGTCATGTGGTACCTTTCCACCAATCCTGGTTAACCTCTATGGAATCTTCTAGACTCCATCGTACGCTCCCAGGACCACGCCCCTGACTCGTCCCCCCATTGGCTGTGGCTAAAGCCAGCAGAACCAATCCTCTACTTACAGATGTCACCTTCCCATTACGTCAGGGCCACGCCCCTAGACTTCCCCCCATTAGCTATGGGCCAGGACCGGTAGGGCCAATCATCGTACGAGGTGTAATCCAACAGCAACCCGGATATGTCCTCACATCACACAACAAAGACGGCGATCGCATCGCGCGCTTTCAGGTGACTTCCATGGCCGTCTCGATCGCTCTTCCTGCCGATGTCAGGAATCCACCGGAGCCACGCACTTTTCAACGTGCGTTGAATGCTCATGTCATTCGAACCAATAAGCACGGTTGTCATCGTGCGGCGCGAAAGAAGTTCAACACACACAAACGTTCACTGTGCAGCGCAGCTACTACTATCCCACCTCGTGGGACCGCATGCCGGACCGTGCGTCTCGTGCCCAACCAACCACCCCCAGCCCCCACACGCGCCCTCTCTCACCTTGGCACCCATCCACCGCCTGCTCGTAGCCGGGGCCGCAGACGCACCTCCCGACGGGCATGAGCCACTTGCCATCGGCGCTGCAGAACATGCGCGGCGCCTCCTCCTCGACCGAGTTCTCGACGCATGCCCCGCGCACCTCGACATGCGAGGAAGATTCGGCGCCCGTCACCGTGTCGGGGAAGACGGCCAGGCCGCGCACGGTGCGTGGGCAGCGCTTGTAGTACACGCGCACGGACACGAGCGCGATGCATGCACCCACATCCTGGAAGGCCAGGTGGAAGCCCTTCTTGGTGAGGGGGCCCACGTCACGCACCTCCGTGTTCAGCTTCATGATGCGGCCGACCAGATCGATCTCGGTGAAGGTCTCGTCGGCCACGATGGTGTCCACCTTCACGTACTGGCTCTCGTGGATGCCGGACACGCGCTCGCTGTCCGACTCGTGGTAGTAGACGTTGAAGGTCTCCTTGCACGTGCCCGAGATGCCCGGGATGCTGTTGCAGTCGCGCAGCGTGAACTTGAGCTCGAGGAAGACGCGCTGGGCACCGCCGCGCATCATCCAGTTAGTCCGCAGCCAGTTGTTCTGGTTGGGCTTCATCACGTGGCAGACTTGGTACATCTGAATGGGCGTGTGGAACTCATCGTACCCGCTTATTTCTTCCCACTGTGTTTGTAGGGGAGGGGCGACAGAGAAGGTTGGTGGGTGGAGCGGGAGGGGGGGAGTGGCGATATTTTTGTTAGTGAAATTGGAAGATCGGGAGTTTAAAGTCTCATGATCAGAATCAGAATCGTTCTTTATAGCTGGGGGAAACTGATGAGCTACGAAGTGTCAAGTCGGAGTGGGTCAGATTATCGGGTCCATTCAGCTCCTTGTCTACCCAGGATTCACATTGCGAGCACCACTTTGTAAGTACTCAACGGCGGTTGCTCTAAGGCATCTCGGCCCCCGCCATAGGAATGTGCAATTTCCACCAATGGCTAAGAAAGGTAAATGAGATGAGCACCTCCAAATGCTCAATTGAGCATCATGGCACTCTGACTTGTAATTCAGTCTTTGGCCTCTATGTACAGTACTTTATATAAGATTCACAATTGGATACAACAGCATTATGCAATTTAGTCGCCAATATATAGATTAATAATAATAGTTCAATTTCTAACGTGCGCAAATTTGCAGACGTAGTGGCCGCAACTCAGAGGCGCGGAGCCAAGCTCAGAATCGCTCAAAAGCATGATTGTAGAGGTGAGTTTTTAAGTGTCTCTTAAAGGAGGCAATTGAGGTGATGCTGTGCAGAGGATCTTGGTATCAAGAGGAGGTCGTGAGTCGCGCTGCGCAGGCATCTGCCGTGTGCTGAGCTGCAAGTTGTCAATAATGAAGAGAGGTACGGTGGGCAGGCCGATATGAAGGCATGGTGGCAGAGGTAGGCGGTATTTTGTGTGACCCTACTGGTGATGGGTAGCCAGTTGAGAGCACGGAGACAAGCTAGTGAGTCGAGACGGGGATGAGTGTGGGCAATGACGACGCATGCCAGGTTATTTTGTAGTCTTTGAAGTTTCTTTAGGCTGCCAGCGGAGGTCCGGACTAGGACGGAGTTACAATAGTCAAGGCGAGACCCAACTATGCAACATGCCAATGTGTTGGCAATTTCAGTAGAGATGAGAGGACGTATGTGTCTAAGAGCCTTCAGGTGAAAGTTACATGAGCTGATGATATGGTTGGTTTGACGGTCGAAGGATAAAGTTGAATCTAGGATGACACCGAGGTAGCTGAAGTGGTCGGTGAACTTGATGCTGTGACCGAAGATGTGTATGTGTGTGGGGAGTGCTGCTGAATTAAGACGTTGCTTGGTACCTAACATGATGGCCACTGACTTTTTCGGATTAAGGGCTAGGTTGTGTGCAGTGAACCATTGTTGCACGGTGGTGGTACATTCCGAGAGCCTCTCGAATCCAGATGCATTTCTATAATCGATGGCGGTGAATATAATCGTGTCATCCGCGTATGAGTGATGCTTAACACCGAAGCTTGCAATGAGCCGGCCGATCGGGGAAGTGTAGGCTGTGAAGAGCAGGGAACCTAGTACAGAGCCTTGGGGAACCCCGCTTAATGCTGTTGTTTCAGGCAATGTGAACATGCCCACCCTGACTGAAGATTGCCGGTCAGAAAGGTACGAAACTATCCACTTGAGTGCTGAGCCGCATATACCGAAGTCGGATTTCAGGAGGGATGTAAGGAGCGAATGGTTGATGGTGTCGAAGGCTGACGAAATGTCCAGACTTATAAGTGCAACAGTTGAGCCGGAATCAATGATCGTTAAAATGTCATCGATCACTCTAGTGAGTGCTGTTTCTGTGGAATAGTTTTGACGGTAAGCTGACTGGAAGCAGCAGTAGTTTGCGGAGGAGGTGATGTGTGGTTTTAGCTGGGCGAGGGCTAGTCGTTCAAGGAGTTTCATGGTCATCATTGCACGGATTGAATGTTGTCCTTCGTCACACCTCCGATTAGCATGGTTAGCTTCGGAGGGTACAAAATAAGCTCAACGTGAGTATGTGTAGTGAGCATAAGTAGTGCAGGAGACGTCGATGGAGGCAACACTTATTGATTAAAAAGAGCTACGATACAGCAGCACGTAGCGAACCCTAACACTAGAGCAGTGGTTCTTAACCTGGGTTCGATCGAACCCCAGGGGTTCGGTGAGTCAGTCTCAGGGGTTCGGCGGAGGTTAAGACACACACCCGACTCATATGATTGTGCACCAGTAAAAAATATACCTATGTTTTTAATTTGAAAAAATCATATTTTATTTTTACAATTAAGAAGGGTTCGGTGAATGCGCAAATGAACTGGTGGGGTTCGGTACCTCCAAAAAGGTTAAGAACCACTGTACTAGAGGATGTGTTCCTCAGCGAACGTTCCTCGTGAGCTCCTACTACACCCCTCTATCTCAGACCATCCTAGTGGAGGCTAACTGACCTGGCCCAGTTTCGGCTCAGGTCCGACCCTCAGCCACACGAGTCTGGCCCTCACAAGGACACAGACCTCGCTGCTCTGAGGTCGCCCCTGGCTTGCCCTGCTCGGCTCTTACAAGTGTAGAGCCGTTGTAGAGCCGTTGTAGCCGTTGTAGACGGCCGGATTTAGACTTGCCACGGATGGCAAACAAACACAATGGGCGTGGCTACATCGGGACGCGAAGACGGTGTTTACTGCGACGTCCGCGTTGTTATCCTGGGGGGCTATTGCGGAGCTGGGATCCCCCACAGCCCCACCCCTCAAGGGGGGATGGCTATTTAAGGTGGCGAGCCGGACGGCTCGGGGTCTAGTGTTAAGCTGTAACCAGTGAAGAAAGAAGACTCGCTAGACAGGCCCTGGAACTCCCTGGGATCGCTGCCCTTTTCAGGGCCGACCAGACAAGCCAGCGGCGTGGCCCTAAGAGCCCAGGACCGACGCTCTTCTAAGAGCCGGACTGGGTATTCCGGGTGCCGTAACCTAGCTGTAAGCTAGCTGTGAGTCAGGCTGTTGTGTTCCGTAGTGTAGACGGGTGAAGGGGCCGATACCCCATTCAAGTACTGTAAGTTGCCTGTTACTTGCTGGTGTTAATAAACAAGCGTGTGCCTCCAACTACGTTGTCAAGTCTCCGGGAACCTTACTACATCTGGTGTCGGAAGTGGTTCTACAAGGATGGAGACACGACGGACAACTCCTACCAGAGAGACGGGGGCGGAGGAAACCTCGGCTGACTTTGAGCCAGAAATGGCTGAGGGCGGACTCGAGCAGCAGGGGCCAAGTCCACCCACACCGCAACGTCAAGACGAGTGGGAACCGTCGTCTGAAGGACTGTGGCTGGCCCACTCTCGACTGGCAGAATTGCTCTATGCTGCAGCCACCACACTGGAACAGATTACCCGACTGGGGACGGGAGGAGCTGCACGGGGCGATGGCGGCCAACATACGATGCCGTTTCCCGCCATTTCCAGAGACGCTGAGTTTGGAGTTCCCGCCATAAGTACAGTGCAGGCTGACGGCGAGGCGGGGCTACGTCACGTGGCCGATACTCACCAACCACAAGCCACGTCGGCAGCGGCGGACAACAAAACGTCACCACAGCAACCGCCGTTGCCACGCGCCCAGCCCGCCAAAGCTGCACGGAGTGACGGAGAGCGTTTTTCGCCTACGGACGCTGCGCTGCAACAGCGACTGCCACCTCTCAAGGAATTCGTGGGAGGAGAAGGCGACTGGGGTGGCTTCCGGAGGCGCTTCCTCGCCCATCAAGAGATGGCGAAATGGACCGATGATGAGGCGTTACGTGCGCTGCCGGCGATGCTTGACAGCGATGCCCTCGCCACTCTCACCTCGGCACCAAGGGCGAAGCGCGCCACGCTGCAAATGGCGCTGCAACTCCTCGCCGCGGTCTATGGACCACCCTCGGACTGTCGCCAGCTGTTTTACGATCGCCAGCGGGGCGCCAAGGAGTCGCCCCTGGCGTACCGCACGGCTCTCCTGGCCCTGGCGAAAACGGCTTTTCCACGGATGGACGAGGATGGGGTGGACGCCATGGTCACGGAAAAGCTACTGCTGCTGGCCGATGATTTGGACATCGTCGTCTTGGCTGAGGACGACGCAAAAATGTGTTCGTTGACGGCCGCCCGGCACATCCATGCCAACCTGCTGGCCCAACGTCGGAAGGCCAGCAAAGCGAAGGCCAGCCATACCGTGGCTGCATCCGCCCTCCCAGCGGAAGACATCTGCGCTGTGGATCGCCCGACGGAGTGGAGGTCCGGAGTACGGCCAGCTCGGGACGAACCGAGCCGCCGGGATCAGCCCAAGCCATCAGCAACACTCACGCGCTGCTACAACTGTGGCCTCCAGGGCCATGTGGCGTCAGGATGCCGGGCTCCTCGGCAGCGTGGTGCGACGCCTCGCCAGGACGTCGCGCCTCGACCCAAGTCTCCCCAGCAAAATCCGGCGAGTCGTGGCACCCCACATGGTTGGCCCACACACACACCTGCCACTCACTCACACACCGCAACGAACGGGGGTCAGAAATTATCCATTGTCACGCCAAAACGTACCTCCGTCGGGTGTGCGGTCCAACCGACCCAGTGGTCCGAGTTGGCTCATCGTGTTGTTGCCGCGTCGTCGGGGTCGTCGGTTGTTGTGGGACATATTGATGGGGTCGAGGTACGGGTCTTGATTGATACGGGAGCATCGGCGACTATTGTGTCTGATTTGATTTACAACATTCTCCCCATTCAAAGTCGTCCCTTGCTCCCTGTTGATGTCCCATGTTACGCTGCTAACGGGGGTTCGTTGGGAATTATCGGACAGATCCGCGCGCAAATTTGTATTGGGGACATTAAATTATCCGGCCCGATATTGGTCTCCTCCTCGCTGGCGGTTCCGTGCCTGTTGGGGACGGATTTCTTGGCCAAAATGCCCATTCGTATACTAATCGACCAAGGATGCATTGAACTTCCGTCGGGGCGACGTATGGCCTTTTTGTCATCCCCCGCTACCACTGTCCGTACGGCGTTTGCGACGGTACCGGCGCTGGTCGCGAGGACGGTACGTGTACCGCCAGGAGCTCAAATGCTCGTACCTCTTAGGCTGCGCCGACCGTTTGGGGAGGGCGTCGGGGATCGGGGGGTTCTGTTGGGACCATCGAGGGCCGAGGTCAACGGACCCGACTTGGTAGCGGCCCAGACCCTGGTCAAAGGGGACGAGGACCCCTTCATCGCGGTCCTCAATGTGGGGTCGCGAACGGCCGTGGTTCCTCAGGGGACCGTGCTCGCGCACGCAACGCCGGTGCCTCGGGAGGAACCGGTTGTTGCTCAGGTGAGCGCCGGTTCGCCCTCGCTACCACATTCGGATTGTGATGAGGGGTGGCTCGATGCGCTTTGCGCGGGATCGGTGGACCTGTCCGGTCCACAGCGTGAGAGGCTTCGAGTCCTCCTTCGCGAATTTTCAGACGTTTTTAGTCTAAATAAATACGATATTGGCTGTACTAAATTGCTGAAACACCATATTGACACGGGTGACAGCGCGCCAATCCGCCAAAATCCATTTCGGTTAAGTCCCGCCGAAAAGGAGCATGTTAAATCGGCTGTAGACGACATGCTAGCTGCGGATATCATATCCCCTTCCAGCAGCCCTTGGGGCGCGCCGATCGTTCTGGTTAAAAAACACGACGGATCATTGCGCTTTTGTGTGGATTTCCGTCGGCTTAACAAAATTTCTGTAGCCGACGCATACCCGCTTCCCCGGGTGGACGAATCGCTTGATGCCCTGGCAGGGGCGCGATTCTTCTCCACATTGGATTTATTGTCCGGGTTCTGGCAGCTGCCTCTGGATGACGAATCCAAACCGAAAACTGCTTTCCGTACGCCACAGGGCCTTTTCCAATTTAATCGCTTGCCGATGGGATTACATTCCGCGCCGGCAACTTTTCAGCGATTAATGGAATTGGTTCTGGCTGGCTTGCAGTGGGAATCGTGTCTGATTTACCTAGACGATGTCATCGTCTTTAGTAGAACATTCGATTAACACCTCCAGAGGTTGCGTGCCGTTTTTCTCAAAATGCGGGCTGCTAATTTGAAGTTCAAGCCCCAGAAGTGTTTCTTGCTCCGCGAATCGGTGCGCTATTTGGGTCACATTGTGGGCCGTTCAGGCATTGCCACTGATCCCGCCAAAACGAAATGTGTTCGCTCCTGGCCGACTCCCACCTCGGTGGGTGAGGTCAGGAGTTTCATCGGATTCGCATCATACTACCGCCGGTTTGTCACTGATTTCGCTACCATTGCGAAACCCTTACATGCCTTGACATCTAAGGGGGTCAAATTTCATTGGGGTAAGGAGGAAGACGCCGCTTTTCACTCGCTCCGGGACGCCCTAGTCGGGGCTCCGCCATTGAGTTACCCGGATTTTACAAAACCCTTCTTGCTCGATACAGACGCAAGCAACACGGGCATCGGGGGCGTTCTCTCCCAGGTTATTGGGGGCGTGGAACATGTGGTTGCGTACGGCAGTCGGGTGTTGTCTCCGGCGGAGCAAAGATACTGCGTTACCCGTAGGGAACTATTGGCAATCGTGTACTTCATTCAACAATACCGCCCATATCTGTACGGTCGGCGGTTCACCGTCCGCACAGATCATGCGGCGCTGCAGTATGCTTTGCGGGTTCAACAGCCATCGGGACAATTGTCTCGATGGTTGGAAATCCTTCAGGATTTCGATTTTGCGACTACCTATCGTAAGGGCACTCGCCACACCAATGCGGACGCTCTGTCCCGGTTACCACCCACTTCTGAGTGCGCTTGCCTGCTGGGTTCGTGGCGTTGCAGACCTCCGAATGTCAGCTCTAATTCGGTTTTAGCAGCCGCCGCCGATGCGCCTTCCGTTGCCGGTCCTATCGAGCAAGAAGGGAGGGATTCCTTGCTGGGGTTGTCGGTTGCGGAGTGGGGGCGCCTCCAAATGGAGGACACCTCCCTCCTCGCTTTGCGCCGTCGCGTCGGGGGAATCGTGCGGGGGGGTGAAAATGTCGACGCGTGGTCAGAACTAGAATGAACGGAGGGAGAGGCCACGCTGAAGCGGGGTCCAGGCTGCCACGTGGCCGCGCGTGTCTCTCTCTCTCTATCCCTCTCACGCTGCCTGTCAGCAGCGTGGAGGAGTGTTGTAATGAAAGACAAATAAAGACCGGATTCCAGAAGTCGCTTCTACGACCTTTATTATAATAGCAATGATGTAAATTATTTCCAGATAAAAAGACTCACAGGATCCTCCCCGAATATGGTTTGGCACCACAGTCCTGCTCAACTGAGTGCCCGGAGAAAATCCACCACAGTTACGAGGTGGTGCCACTCAGCACCGTCATCTCCTGACCATCTCCGGCATCCCCATGCCAACAACACCTGGTGGTGGTACCTGGTGGTCACTCATCCAACTACCGACCAGGCTCAATGCTGCTTAGCTTTTTAGGCAACGATCACAATTATTCCGACACTTATTAATTATCTACACTATGGGAACCTCATTTGCCAATAAAAATATGATAATTGGTTTTTTACCCTTCTATCTGGCAACAAAACCTGCAGTCATAATACAAACAAAAGACATAACTCTGATAATGTGCACTGTCCTTGAAGTTGATTGGTCCACACCTTTTGGCGTCATCTGGTCCAACCCATGTGAGACTAGGCTCTAAGGAAAGCTGTCTCGGGTGTGGACCAATCAACTTCAAGGACAGTGCACATTATCAGAGTTATGTCTTTTGTTTGTATTATGACTGCAGGTATTGTGGTCTATGCAAACATGACTCCTTGTAAAAAGGTGTCAGTTTTGTTGCCAGATAGAAGGGTAAATAACCAATTATCAACTTATTAATTAGTCGCAACAAATTAAACATTATTTGAATGTTTGGCTGAAAATCAGAGGATCTCCTGGTGATCACTGGCATGCTGTATGAGGGGATGGACCTTTGACTCTGTCGTGAATATGTTTTAACACGATTCCAAGGACTCTTTTAGGACAAAGTTGACCTCATGGAGGGCCAGTAAACGTTCCAAAACCGGTGTACATGGCCGGGAATAAATCCCAAGTTGTGATAAGCACTACTACTCATTCGGACGCTGTCTTTCCGACAGACCTGTTCTTCACCTGAGGACGGCTGCTTGCGTTGTGGCCGAAACGTCGTGAGAATTTAATATTTTATTTTTATTATTTTATTATTTCCCTTCTACGAGACTTTACCGAAAGAACCAATAAGATGAATCCCTGCAGTCACGAAAGCTTTAAATCGAAATCTTAAAGTGACTATGTGACTATGTGCAAACTGAAAATCCAGGGGAAAAAACAGCAAAAATTCCAGAAAAAAATGCACTGTACACACCAACACTGTGTAGAAAAATCCCAGTGGGATGCAAGTCAAACAACAACAACCAAAAGACAAATTTAGATTAAGGCCATCAGTCTAACTCCGTACTACAAGAAACAAACATGGCCAAATCAAAAAACTTTTCGAAATCATCAAAATAAAGCCATTAAAGCAATGAAACAGTGATCATAGGAACTGTGACCGAATTTTCACAATAAACGACATAAACAACACCAAACCCTGCAGCCATAACTGGCTGCATGAGCCTGCACTCATACAGTACCAATATCCGTAGGTGGTCATTTTGTTTTCTTACCCCTTCAGGTGGTGAGGCAATCCAGCCAGGCTCCCCCAGTGCGCTCTTTGAGTCGAGGATATTGACTGCAGGAGACAAGGCGCAACATTCAGCCCCGAACAGCTGGTCGTCACAACGTGGGGATGTGCAGAGCCGCGAGGCCGGGGAGACACATCAAGTCAAACACAATGAGAGTCACATGTTTTTACTGGTAGGAACCTCTTGGTTACACCAGCCCACAGGAGATTATTGTGTCCGCCGTGCAAAGAGGGGCTGGGTAGGGGCTGGGTGGGAAGGGCTGGGTGGGTAGGGGCTGGGTGGGGAGGGGCTGGGTAGGGAGGGTGGGGCTGGGTGGGGAGGTGCTGGGTGGGTAGGGGCTGGGTGGGGAGGGGTTGGTGGGTAGGGGCTGGTGGGGGGAGGGGTGGGGCTGGGTGGGGAGGTGCTGGGTGGGTAGGGGCTGAGTGGGGAGGGGTTGGGTGGGTAGGGGCTGGGTGGGGAGGGGTTGGGTGGGGAAGGTGGGGCTGGGTCGGGAGGGGCTGGGTGGGTAGGGGTTGGGAGGGTAGGGGCTGGGTGGGGAGGGGCTGGGTGGGAAGGTGGGGCTGGGTGGGGAGGGGCTGGGTGGGGAGGGTGGGGCTGGGAGGGGTGGGGCTGGGTGGGAAAAGGCTGGTCACCCCGTGGTGCCCTTATCAACGTTGAACCTACTCACGCCGGCTTGTGCCCGCCCTCACAGTCGGGCATATTGGTGGAATACACCACGCCGCTGTTGACCCTGCAGGCCATTGAGCGAGCAACCCAACGTTCCTACCAGCTCCCTCCGCAGCAGCAGGACGATGTGTTTGTTGGTGAAGTGTGCGAGGTGAACACTCTGCGACAGCAATGGCACAATGGCCATGCATTTTCCCCGACTCTACTCAAGGTAAACCAAGCGAGTGGGGTCATCTGTCAGAGAATACCAATGGGAAATGTCGTATCGCTGACATCGTATTCTCTGGATTATAAGACCCCCCCCCTGCCCCCTGCATAATTAAAATTTCTTATTTTCAGCAGCATTTTATATTCTCGAGAATACGGTGTTAATATACAGTCTTTGGTGTAAAACAAACGATTATTTAAAAATGAGGCTAAAATGTGAAGTATTTTATTTTCCATCATTGACATGAAACTTTTTTATCTCACTGAACCAGTTATCTGCTTACAGGCACATTGGACTCAACACAAACTCCCTCTGCAACTACCGTGGATGGGCCCTACCAGGCTCCAGGAGACAACTTGAAATTCCAAAAAGGCCCCGTGGATGTTGTTGAAATCGTAGAGGGATTTCTCTTCGTAATGTTTTGCCTCCGAAACGTCGTGAATTATTATTTTATTTCTATTTTATTTTTTATTTTTTACCTACGTGACTTTACCGAAAAAGCCTAAGAATATGAATCCTTGCAGTCACGAAAGCTTCACATCTAGAATATATCAAAGTTTCAAAGTTCATGTATTAGGTATAGCCCTGTGAACCATTCGGCTCTTGAATCGGGTGCAATCGCAACAAACAAAAAAACTAAAACATGAACAAAAAACATCTCAAAGTGAATATGTAACTGAGTGCAAACAGAAAATCCAAGAAAAGACAGCAAAATATTACAGAAAAAGCACCGTTACACACCAACGCTGTGTGCAAAAATCCCAGTGGGATGCAAGTCAAACAACCACAAGACAACTTAGATTAAGGCCATCAGTCGAACTCTGTACTACAACAACACAAACATGGCCAAACCAATACACTTTTCGAAAATCACCAAAATCAAGCCATGAAAGCAATGAAACAGTGATCACAGGAACTGTGACCGAACTTTCCACAACAAACGACGTAAACAACACGTACAGAAGTTGGCGGTGTCTCTCTCTCCTCTCTCTCTCTCTCTCCACGTGCCCCGTCACATTCACGATGAAAGACTGCGGAGCCGGCAAAGAGCGATGATGCTTGAGCCCCCACCCCACCCCGCCCCCCACTCGCCTCGTTACCTTCGTGAGCGACGCAGACGGCGAGGAGAGACCCCAGAAGACTGGCGCTTTGCAGGAGCGTGGAGGAGACGGATCCAGGCGCCATGAGGCTGATGGATCGTGGTGCTGGTGGATTGTGGAGCTGGTGGATCATGATGCTGGTGGATTGTGGAGCTGGTGGATCGTGGTGCTGATGGATCGTGGAGCTGGTGGATTGTGGAGCTGGTGGATTGTGGAGCTGGTAGATTGTGGTGCTGGTAGATTGTGGTGCTGGTAGATCGTGGTGCTGGTGGATCGCGGTGCTGGTGGATCATGATGCTGATGGATCGTGGAGCTGGTGGATCGTGGTGCTGGTAGATCGTGGTGCTGGTGGATCGTGGAGCTGGTGGATCGTGGTGCTGATGGATCGTGGAGCTGGTGGATCGTGGATCGTGATGCTGGTGGATCGTAGAGCTGGTGAATCGTGGATCGTGCTGGTGGTGAATCGTGACAACACTGTAACAAAAGCATGTTTTTTTGTCCTTGGGTAGTGAGTAATATTTTCTAATTGCTAATGCCTCAAAAGTACAGAAAGTGGGTTACTATTATTCCCCACAAACTTTGCTTTTGTGACCAGGACACACAAAGTCCTGGTCACAAAAGCAAAGTTTGTGGGGAATGATAATTGCCACTTTCTATCCATTTTAGGCATAGCCAATTAAAACATAACACTACCCGGGGACAAACATCGTGTTGCAGTTTTGATTTAAAGCTTTCGTGACTGCAGGGATTCACATTCTTTGTTCTTTCGGTAAAGTCACGTAGAAGGGAAATAATAAAATAATAAAACATGAACCAATATTTTTTATATATTTTTTATATTATATTTATTATATATTTATGTTATTGTTTACGACACACTTAGGGGCCGTCCATAAATGACGTCACGCACCTGGGGGGGGGTCAGACATTTGTGACGATGTGTGACGAGGAGGAGGGGGGAGTGAGAAATGTGACGTCACATCTAAATACGCAACTTTAAATGAATATGGGATTGTTATAACAACACTAGTTGTTATGACAACTCTCCTACAACATCAGAGTGCAGCGCCACATTAAATACGCACGACAATGACAACAGTTTAAAGCCATTTGAATTGTTTTTTTTCAAAATGGAGGGGGGGGGCAGAGCTTTGTGACGTCATATTTGAGGATGGGGGGGGGGGTCTGACTTTTTGTGACGCCGTGTGACGAGGGGGGAGGGTCAAAAATCGTCCAAAATCGCGTGACGTCACTTGTTGTTGACGACCACGTGACGTTGCGGCCAGGCGCTAGAGGCGTCACCCCATTGGTGGATGACGACACAGACCTCGCCTCGGGTATAAAGACCCTCCCCCACTCGGCCACGTGGTTCAGATGCTTGGAGCGGCAATGGAGCTGAGCACAAACATCACCCAGCAGTGCAGAGTGGAGCTGGGGACGACTTCTGTGAGTGTTAGATGAGGCATTCACTCGAGGCTGTATTGTCAGATACGTGTTGTTTTAGTTGAGTATAACATTATTAAGTATTTTTTTTTCATTCTTCACCTGAGGACGGCTGCTTGCGTTGTGGCTGAAACGTCGTGAGAATTATTTTATTATGTTTTATTTTTATTATTTTATTATTTCCCTTCTACGTGACTTTACCGAAAGAACCAAGAAGATGAATCCCTGCAGTCACGAAAGCTTTAAATCGAAATGTATTAAATAACACATCTGGGTCGTTTGTTAGCCCATTACTCTATAATAAAGGGGGGTATTTTGGTTTAGATCGCATTACCTTTTATGGATGATGTTGATATAGCGAAAACATACGTGTTAAACTCACCCACTAATAGCTCACATTTTTTGCAGAGGTTTTTTAAAAATGTATATTAAATATTAGAATACTCTTAGTTCTTTCGGTAAAGTCACGTAGGTAAAAAATTTAAATTTAAATGTAAAAAAAATAAAATAATAAAAATCACGACGTTTCGGAGGCAACACAAGTCTCCGTCATCAGGTGGGACCGTCGTGATTTTTATTTTATTTTTTATAAATTTTAATTTCATTTTTTACCAAAGTTCCTGTACCTGACACCATGGCAATCATTGAAGACTTGGTTCATCAAGGACTGAATGCTGGGGTACCCCCCCTGGTGAGACACTGCTTAACTAATACATACTTCACCTGGAATGGAACTTTCTACAAGCAAACTGAGGGCACCCCAATGGGCTCCCCCCTATCTCCGGTTGTAGCCAACATCTTCATGGAGAAATTTGAGACTGACGCCATCCAGACTGCCACTCTACGCCCGACCTTATGGAAGAGGTACGTAGATGACACTTTTGTCATCTGGCCACATGGCCGGCCTGCTCTAAACCAATTTCTCGACCACATCAATTCCATACACCCAGCCATCAGATTCACCATGGAAGTCGAAAAAGATGGCAAGCTACCCTTTTTGGATGTCCTAATTAAAAGGAGACCTGATGGTTCAATGAGCCACTCTGTCTACAGGAAAGCCACCCATACGGATGCTTATCTAAAACCGGATTCCCACCACCATCCATCCCAGAAGAATTCCCTCATCAAGACTCTATACCATAGAGCCCAATGCATTTCCGACCCGGATCACATTGCCAGTGAACTCAAACACGTACGCCAAGCTCTTAAGGCTAATGATTACTCCGACTACACAATCCGCAAGGCCATCACTCCAACCATCAAGAACAATCCTGTTGAGGAGCCTTTCAAGACCATCACCTTACCCTACATTGCTGGGGTCACAAAAAAGATCTCCAAAATCCTGATTAAACACAAGATCCAGGTCCGATTCAACACAGTACATAAAATCCGTGATCTGGTCCCGTCTGTAAAAGATGTGGTTCCAGACATACAGTACCCTGGCGTCTACAAACTAAGTTGCCTTTGTGGTAGCAGTTACATTGGAGAAACCAAACGACATGTCTCGGACCGCATCCGTGAACATACAGCAGACCTGAAACACGGTAGGACAAACACCTCAGCCGTGGCAGATCACTGTTACAATTCAGTGGGCTCACATGACATTGACTTCTCCAAGACAGAGGTTCTCTGCAAGCCAACTGGCTATCATGAGAGATTCGTTCATGAGGCTATCCACATATACAAACACAGAGACAATTTCAACCGAGAAGATGGATTCTGGCTTAGCAATCATTGGAAGGACGTAATAAACCATTTCGGATCTTAACTGATTGTGTTCACATTTACGGTGACTTTCAGACCGCGTTCCACTCACTGGCATTGTATTCTCCGCAGGGAATGGATTCTTTGCTCCGCTGCAAGATTTCCCCCCCACTATTCACCCATTGACAAGACGGTCAATGGTACAGTGTATAATAACAAATAGTATAACATTTATATGCTTAATACAATGTACAAAGTAATATATAGTATCGTAATTTTATAGTAAATATATAGCTTTGTGATACACTTTAAGGTGGGTAGAATAATACATCGTGTTACATTATTACGACGTAGAATTGTAATGTATTACTTACTGTTAGTCACTCAGCTTATTGTAGAGTATAGTAAGTATACTGATGATGCTATGTAGTTTATACTTTAGTTGTTCATGCAGTTTATACTTTAGTTTTTTTTTAAGTTGTTGTTTAACTGCAGCTACATATTATTAACATTCCTTTCCTTTGTTAATGCTACCCCCCTTCCCCCTCCCTTTGATGCTGCTAATCCTGCATAATGCACGGGCATAATATTAACTTGAAACCCCTCCGTCCACTTCCTATGCATTTTTCATATGCTAAATTCCTCTTGATATGCAAATTATGTTGTTAAGGCGCTCTTCTTCCCACCTCCCCTCCTCCAACCCAGCTTATATATACGCTCCTAGCTTGGTGGTGTTTCATTCTTCACCTGAGGACGGCTGCTTGCGTTGTGGCCGAAACGTCGTGATAATTATATTATTTTGTTATGTTTTGTTTTTATTATTTTATTACTTCCCTTCTACGTGACTTTACCCAAAGAACCAAGAAGATGAATCCCTGCAGTCACGAAAGCTTTAAATCGAAATTTAACCGCCTCTACGGGGAGGATTTCCACATAACTTTGAGATCCTTCAACAAGCTCCGGGATAAGAAGGCTCAGCTAATCGAGTCTCTCACCTTTCTGAAGAGATGCCGCGACTCTAAGGTAATACCAAACGCATTTACACTAACATCTGCTGCTGTAACTTCTTCTAATGCTAAACGAATTCTGTCTAGAACTAGCTTGGCTCTTATCTCAGAGAAAATCAGACTTACGCGCACCGATCTAGATCAGTTAGACAAGACACTCTACAAATCACACTTATCTTTGAGTGCAACAATGTCCGCATCGGATTGGGAACATGTAGAAAAATGACTGCCTCGTCAGCTGCCGCTATGTCGACCAAATGTAAGGACAACTTGATTTCCAAATTCAACCGCCTCTCAAACAAGGAACCGGACCCACACATTAAAAAGCTAGATGTTAACAAAGTCGTAATTAATCACAGTAACAGTTCTATTTCTGAAGGTCTGAAATCCGTTTTAGCTAAAGGACTAAACTTTGCAGTCACACCTAGACACATACCAGTTAATGATATAATTGCTAGAGTAGATGTAGCTCTCAAGGGCCTGAGTCCCATCGCTGAAGACATAGCAAGATCTGAAATCTCTGTAACCCTCAAAAATGCTAAGATGCCAGCTAGCAACATCAGCAAAGATGAGCGTTTAAAATTAGCTCAATTAAAAAAGAGGGATGACATTGTCATCCTCTCAGCCGACAAAGGCAATGCCACTGTCATCATGGACAAAACAGAATCTGTCTGTCTATCTGTCTGTGTGTGTGTGTGTCCCCGGCCCATACGCACTTTCATTGGACGCCGGTTGCCCCTGGCAACGGCTAGCGACGCCTTCGCCGCTTTCATTGGACGGCGGTTGCCCCTGGCAACGGCTAGCGACGCCTTCGCCGCGGGCTCCAGTTTCATTGGACGGCGGTTGCCCCTGGCAACGGGTAGCCACGCCTTCGCCGCTTTCATTGGACGGCGGTTGCCCCTGGCAACGCGTAGTGACGGGCCGCGGGGTG